ATCATATATCGATAGTTATCAGGATAGGGTTAAAAGTTTGTCTGTTTAGTATAAACTGTTATTTTATTGTAATTGTGGACGCATAAAACTGTTTATCTTGAAACTTTTTTCCAGGCTCAAGAGCTGCGTAAGAAACGTACGTTCAGGAAGTTTACATATCGTGGGGTGGACCTGGACCAGCTGCTCGATATGACTAAGTAAGTGGCTAGGATAAAGCTGTGACATAACTAATTATTTAGAATAAAGTTGCAGTCATGGTCGGTCATCCATCATATCCGTGTTCATTATTTATACACAGTTTAGATTTTAAGAAGGTATTGTAAATAATTGATGAGAAACGTTTTACTTACAATTGTACTTCATTGAACCATTGTAGTTATTTCTTGTTAAATTTAAGAACCTAAAACTGTCATTTATGATAAGTTAGGATATCTAGTTTCCCTATCTTGATGACTGGTTCTTGATTCAAGGAACAGAAGCTGCTGTCTCACTCCTCGGATCAGAAACTGGCTCATGCTAGGGATATTCAACTTATCTAAAGGACCCCAATGGAAATAAGTCACTGACTTTTTTGGGTTATCCCAGGATCTCTACACATATGCTGCTATGTATGATAATTCTATGTAACTGTATTTGTGTATACCTGAATAAACTTACTTACTTACTTACTTACTTACTTACTTACTTACTAATTGTGTCCTTGTCTAACCTCTTCTTAAAACTACTCAAGGTCTTAGCTTCAGTGACTTTGTTCCACTCATCCACAATTTTTATTACCTAAGCTGAGATTTCCTATGTCCTCTTTATTCCCGTTTTCCATTTATATACTTCATATTCCTCCAAATTCTGTGCCTATCTCGAAAGTGCAGATTCCATGGTTCATTTCTTTCCAGAGTGCACATTTACTGAGCAAGAGCCTCGACTGCCAAGTAAACTATATACATGTATGTGATCTTTGGCTGCCTAGTAAACTAGGCTGGCAAAAAACTAGTCTTGTAATTTTGTCTGTACTAAAATAAGTGCCGGAAATTGGTGTTGTACCTGTACATGATCCTATACATTTTCTTGAGGGAGTGCAGCTGCAATGTTAAATTTGTGCCAAAAGTCTGGCAATCCACTATCTGTTGTCAGTTGTTTTTAACTCCTCAATCCATTGGTTGTATCAAGGATGTCATTGGGTGATAAAAAAAAAAGGCTGTCTTGATATGTCCCCATGTCCTCCAGGAGTTAAGGAGTCCTGAGTGCAAGGTTTCTTAGGGACAGGTCCATCCTTGCTTTACCAGTAGTCATGCTTGAACTACTTGCTGAAGGCCTCAGTCACCCATGCTGTGGTGTTGGATTTCCAAATAACAGGCAACATGCTTTTATCTTTACTATTTAAAGCATGTGGATTCTTGGAGTGATAAGCAGTGGCTCACGTTTAAAGTCTTCTGATGCATTACCACAAAGAAGTAAGCTGAAACAGTATGTTGTGGCCTTTAATCTAATAGTTGTTTTTCCTTGATTCCTGATATATGTTCCAGATGGCATTTTCTAGAGCAAACCTATCTCATCAGCATTAAACACTAGCTTGAGTTTGTAGGCACCCTGAGAAATCTGTTAGTTATGTAGTGTACCTTTCATTGGCAGGATGGCCTGCAGAGGCACTCATTTCACTATATTGTACAACCCACTGCATTCTAAATCTGTAAAACTATCCAGAACTAGATGTGCACTCTTTTTTGGACTTTTCCTCCTCACACACTTGTAGTGGACAATAAAATCACTCATTAATGAACTAATGAAGGGGGGGGGGGGAGCTGTATGATAATGTTGATAGCAATTCCTGAATTCATGATTGTCCAGTCTGTCTTCTGAAGGTGGACTTTGTCCATTGATGCAGAAGACTGACACTAAGAATATAGTTATTGTAATTTGTATTACTACAGAACAGTACTGTACTGTATAGCAGTTTTATAGCACTCTCTGTAATTTACAGTAATTTTCCTTGCTGGAGAGACCAAGTGTAGACTACCATAATTGATAGTGGTGTCTTAGAATAATTTATATTGTCAGAGGAGCTGTAAAGCTCTACTAGTGAAAATAATGTAGATGGTCGAGAACCATACATCCTCTTGGCACCCCTACTTGCTTTAGAAGCAATTGTTAAGTACAGTACCTAATATGAATACCTAATAAAAGTGTACTGAACACTTGACAGTGCTTAGTAGAAACCCACATGGAGACGAACTCGGAAAATGAAATTGTATATTTTAACCCCCTACTGGGGCCCTCTTCAGCATGTATAAAAATGAAAGGAGAGCCCATGTCCCATGGCTTGATCGCTAGTGCACTCAACTCTCACACTGAGGTCCAGAGTTTGAATCTCCGGTACAGCTGGAAAACATTAGGGATGCATTTCCATAAGACAGTTGCTGTCCCTGTTCACCCATCAGTGTAAAATGGGTACCTGGGTGTTAGTCTACTAGTGTGGGTCACATCCTGGGACAAAACTGACTTGATTTGTCCAAAATGCTCATCATAACCAGCAGCTTTCTATATAGTAGTGTGTCATTGATGTCAGCTAGGCCTGTAATACATTGTACATGTACTTGTAGAAATAGATTTGTTGTTATGTCTTAGATTCCCTAGTGATTTTAATTTCATATATTCTCTTCACTTTTATTTCTTTTTTATTCTCACTGACCATTTAATTACACTCATCCTGGAGAACAGGAAAATAATTTCCTACCTTCAGATCTGCTCTTGTAACCTACACATTGATGTTTCTTACTTTACTGGAAACTACTACCCTCTTTTAACTGCTTACTGCTGGTGACCTGTTTCTCATCACTAATCCAGACCGCCTTGCTCAACACTACAGAAGAAAGCCAAGGTGCTCTTTAACCACACTAATCCCACATGACAGCTCAGGCCAGGTAGTAACCTCTTGTGACTACTGTTATTCAGCTTTTAAGTTTGGGCGTGTGTGTTATTACCAATATAGAAAAAATGCTTGCTGCATTTTTTCATTTGCTAAGATTATTACTATTATATTCATGGGAGCACTGAACTTGGTCATACAGTGCTTGGGATAATGTGAAGCATTCAGGTTTGATCCAAGGAACAGAAGGTCTGGTTCAATTTCTTGGATCAATAGCCCCTCACCAGCACTTTTTTTTTTTTTTTTTAATATACAGTGGACCCCCGCTTAACGATCACCTCCAAATGCGACCAATTATGTAAGTGTATTTATGTAAGTGCGTTTGTACGTGTATGTTTGGGGGTCTGAAATGGACTAATCTACTTCACAATATTCCTTATGGGAAAAAATTCGGTCAGTACTGGCACCTGAACATACTACAGGAATGAAAAAAGTTCGTTAACCGGGGGTCCACTGTACTAGGCTTCTTAGGTATACACGTATACTACGTATTGTGTAATATTGAGTGGCAAACTAAGTGACTGGACTAGATGTGTTTCATCCAGTCATAAAACAAGCTCATAGATTAAATTTGAGGTTTATTGGGGTTTAAATCTTATTTTAAATTCCCTATGCATCTTAAGGACATTATGAATATGATTAATTGAGCTTAACTCTTTCAGGGTCTGTCCCGTAGATCTACGGCTTTACGTTCAGGGTCCAAACTGTAGATCTACGCCATGAGCTCAGCTCACTCTGATAAACTGTGAATGGTAAATTTGGGCCTATATATGAGAGAATACAGTGGTCCCTCGCTTTTCGTAGTTCTCTGCAATCGTAAATTTCGCCAATCATAGGGGTATTTTCGTATAAACATGGACTCGCTTTTCATAGGTTGACTCGCGAATAGTAGTTCGTCCAGGACGCTTACGCACGGTGTGAGCCGGGGAGGCCTCCCTACCCAGCCAGTCTGGCATTGTTTACCAGTGAGTGAAGGTCCCCTCAAGTGCTCCTATGAAATATTTCATAATCCACTCATTTTAGTGCTTGCAAGTACTAAATAAGCTACCATGGCTCCAAAGAAAGCTCCTAGTGCCAAGCCTGTGGTAAAGAAGGTGAGAAATATGTACAGTGACAAAGTCTTGTACCATTTTAGGGAAGTGTTAAAGAGACGCCAGAAACAGAGCTCTCTCCACAGTTACTTTGCGAGACAGGACTAGAGTGACTCAAGGTGGTCCTAGTGGCAATAAGAAAGAGAAGAGAAGCAACCCCAGAGAAGCAATTGGTACCTGAGATGTTGCTGGAAGGGGATTCCCCTTCCAAACTGTAAACAATCCAATCTCTCTCCTCCTCCAATCTCCCATACACTAAGAAGAATCTCCAATAAAGGTAAGTGTTATGCTGTTAATGTTTCATTCATCATTTCCCATTGTATTGTTTACGTACTACATGTATATTTCATGTAAAAATTTTTTTTGTTTTAATACTTCTGAGTGTCAGAAACGGATTAATTGTATTTACATTATTTCTTATGGGGAAAATTGATTCGCAAATCGTAAATTTCGTTTATAGTAGCTCCTCCAGGAACGGATTAATTACGAAAAACGAGGAACCACTGTACATCTATGTGGTATGTGTGCACCACATAAAACAAATCCTGCAGCACACTGTGTATAATGAGAGGAAAAAAAAACTGAGACTATGATTTTCGATTAAAACAGCGACTTTGCAGTGTTTTTACGTATGTTTTTTATAGTTTGCGATTTCTTGGTCTTGTTTGATAGAATGGAAGACATTTTACAGAAATAGAGATGATTTTGATTGGTTTTAGCACTGGAAACGGCTTGAAACTGAGCTCAAAGTAGTGGAAATGTTATATTTTTGCCGATGTTCAAGAGTAAACAAACGACCTCACACGTCTAATACACGCCAGCTGGTGGGTCTAATATACATTCACAAATGTGGTGATGATATTTATACAATTATTACAATATTGCATAACAGTAAACCTTCTATTTTTTGGTGTGAATAAAAATTCATTGTGAATAAAATATCAAAATGGAATTTATTTGTAAAGCCTCAAAACATAACTAATGAACAGAGGAAATGTTAGTTTAGTGCCAGAAATACCTACATTGTTTATTCTGGAACCTATTTTGAAATTGGAATATTTTGAACTTTGTGTTAAATCGGCCAAATTACCAATTTCCGATCACTTTATTTTGTAGTTGAAACAGTTGACTTGGCGATTTCTTGTGCTCAATCGATAGAATAAAAGCAATACAAGTGAAATAGCTAAGAATTTGGTCGACTAGAATAATGTAATTGGCCTAAAATGGGAGTCAAAGTTGGCAAAATCGCCGATTCATAAATATCAGTGACACCTCAAAATTTGCGAGAGCATAATTTCGTCAATTTTCCATCAAATTTCGTACTTTGTTTTATTACTATCAAAAAAAGATTCTCTACCATTTCATAAGAAAAACTAACAAATTTTGGTACTAGTTGTACTTAAAATTTAGTAGTGGTCTTCTGTTCTTGTTGGTAGCAATTAGTTATTGCCATTGTAATCTTAGGTTAAGCTTACCTGAAATGCTCTGTATAACTACATCTTTTTACATGCACAACTAAGTGTCCCCTATCTCTACAAACATTGTATCATGCTGAAATACAATATTATTATATTTATTCTTTCATATTCTATAATCTTTATCATACCATTACATTTTCTCCTATCAGCTAGTGAGAGCATATCAAATGTTTTCAGCCTAATTATTAGCTTTTATTTTCTTTAGTATTTTGTAGAACTTTGGAGACAAAAACTTGGAGACAAACTTGGAGACAAAAAGAATGCAGATGTAATATATACAGACATGGTAAACATGAGGAAATTAAATCTTCATCAGAGTACAAAACAAATTCTGGCCACAAAATAGAGCGAAACACCAACGTCAAAGACCTGGGAGTGATCATGTCGGAGGATCTCACCTTCAAGGACCATAACATTGTATCAATCGCATCTGCTAGAAAAATGACAGGATGGATAATGAGAACCTTCAAAACTAGGGAGGCCAAGCCCATGATGACACTCTTCAGGTCACTTGTTCTATCTAGGCTGGAATATTGCTGCACACTAACAGCACCTTTCAAGGCAGGTGAAATTGCCGACCTAGAAAATGTACAGAGAACTTTCACGGCGCGCATAACGGAGATAAAACACCTCAATTATTGGGAGCGCTTGAGGTTCCTAAACCTGTATTCCCTGGAACGCAGGAGGGAGAGATACATGATTATATACACCTGGAAAATCCTAGAGGGACTAGTACCGAACTTGCACACGAAAATCACTCACTACGAAAGCAAAAGACTTGGCAGACGATGCACCATCCCCCCAATGAAAAGCAGGGGTGTCACTAGCACGTTAAGAGACCATACAATAAGTGTCAGGGGCCCGAGACTGTTCAACTGCCTCCCAGCATACATAAGGGGGATTACCAACAGACCCCTGGCAGTCTTCAAGCTGGCACTGGACAAGCACCTAAAGTCAGTTCCGGATCAGCCGGGCTGTGGCTCGTACGTTGGTTTGCGTGCAGCCAGCAGCAACAGCCTGGTTGATCAGGCTGTGATCCACCAGGAGGCCTGGTCACAGACCGGGCCGCGGGGGCGTTGACCCCCGGAACTCTCTCCAGGTAAACTCCAGTATTTTCTAGCTTACTGTCGTTTTACTCCCATTGAAAATAGTGTACTTGAAAGTTTCACTAAAGTATGGAAGTTTATCGTGATTACATAAATATGATCGTCAAATTTTTTTTTTGAATATGATGATGGTATACAATACCAACAAGTTAATAATTAAAACAACACTTGCAACTGTTAGTTATCTTATTCCGAAATGTTTTGCCTACACAGTCAACCTTTTCAGTCTAATAAAGAAGAGGCAGCCGAAGCAGTAGAGATGTGATTGGGCCATTACCCTCAAAGACTTAGTTTTGAGGTGGTCACACTCTCAGCCTGGAGAAAAGTTCTGCTCCATAGTCTGGATGGTTTAGTCATAGGTTGACCAAGATGGTATATAAATTGACAGTGTATTAAGCAGTTGAGAATCCAACAGTCCAATAGTCATATGTTGTCTAATATTGTACAGCCTCTCCTCACTTGACAGAGTTCCATTCCTAAGACCACGTCGGTAAACGATTTCGTCGCTTAGTGAGGAGCATACTATAATAGTTGGTTTGAGTCGACCATCTTTGATATTGTTTTAATGTCATCTTTGCACTATTTATAACATTTGATATATTTTTAAATGTTTATACAGTAGTGTACTGTATATTGTAATAAAAAAGAATAGAGGAAATTGGCTCTGCTGTACATTATTTAGGCATGCATACTGGTCAGAGGGCCTGTCGTAAATCCGAGGCGTCGGTAAACGAGTACATTGCTAAGTGAGGAGAGGCTGTATTTCATTTATGTTCGACAGTGGACAGGTTGCATTTCAAATTCTAGTTTATCCGTTTGCTGCATTTCTACCACTAGAATTTTAATAGTTAAATTTTAATCTGTCACTTCTAATGCTTTTTACCAATATTGTCAAGCTTCCTACTGTCTTCAACAAACTCGATTAATCCTCAAATGCTAACTTATTTACAACACTGCATATTTATTGGTTTCAGTGACATTGTAAGGGTTCTTTTTATTAATATCTGGCTGTAATTGTTTAGAAATTGTACTCATAACTGTATGACTGTTAAGTCTTGATAGTCTCTTGTCGCTAATCTGTTCGTTTCCTGAAGAAATTATATTTTGTTTAGCCGTGTCACTCCTGCAGAATTGTTTCCTCTCTCTCTCTTTTCTAGTAATTTCTTAAGCCTTTTGGAAGTCCATAATTTTTTTTTTTGTAAAGTAATCGTTCCGTGTCTTTGTCTAAGACTTGTCAGTGTCAGCAAGATAACCAAAGCATTCTTTAACCCTTAAACTGTCCCAACAGATCTATGTTCACATGCGTAGTGCTCCAAAAGTAGATCTATTTTTTTTTTTTTTTCAAATATAACAAAAAAAAAATGTAGATCAAAGTTTTTTTTTACACGTTTTCAAATGTAAAAAACAAAAAACAAAAAGAAGATTACATTTTTTTACATACTTTCAAATGTTGAAAAAACGTAGATGTACGTTTGGACAGTTTAAAGGTTAAATGTCAGAAAGGGTATGGGCATTTTTCACCCATGTATTGGAGAGGACAAACTGATCAGAAAATACAAAGTGTGTACTTATTGACTCCCTTTTGCACTTATGTATGACTGGTTAACTCTTTTGAGGTCATTGCTGTAGTACTGTGGCTTTAACATCTGGGTCAGTGGCATAGATCTATCTGATGAGCTCAGCTCTCACAACCTGTGAGTGGTAAATTTTGGTCTAGATAAGAGAATAGGTCTATGTCGTGAGTGTGCACCATATAAAAAAAATCCTGCCCCATGCAGTGCATAATGGCGAAAAAAAAGCTGACTGGGTTTTTGGTTGAAAATAGCAACTTTGTGGGTTTTCAGATGGTTTTCATGGTTTTATCCTTGGTTTCTTGGTAGAGTGGAAGATACATTACAGAAATAGAGATGATTTTGATTGGTTTCAGGAATGAAAATAGCTTAAAATTGTGCTCCAAATAACCGAAATAATTTATTTTTCCCAATATTCCAGAGTACACGCATCGCTTGTCAGCAATACGCGTCAAACTGGTTGGTCTATGTTCAAGAGTGCACTGACGTTGTTTATACCATTATTACCATAATGCATGGAAGTGAAAAAAAAAAAAATTTAATAAAAATTCAAAATGGAATTCATCTGTAATATTGGAGAAGCTGGGGACATAACTAATGAACAGGAAATGTTATTTTAGTGCCAAGAATGTCTCCATTGTTTATTCTTGACCCTATATTAAAATTTGTGTAAAATTGGCCAAGTTACCAATTTATCACTTTATTGGGTAGTTGAATGGGGGGTTTCTTGAAAATTTTACCCCCTTTTTTCAAGGGGGGCTCCCTTGGCGTGGTTTTTAAGGGCCCCTTGGTCTGGGGGAATTAGATGTCGGTCTTCTTCTTCAGCCCCAAAACCTAATTCCCCCCCTTTTTTTTTTTTTCCCCCCCCCCAAATTCCCAACCCCTCCCCCCCCCTATCCCATCCTCACTTTTTTCCAAATTTCCCCCTCCTTCCTCCCCACCCCCCCCTTTTTTCCCCTTCCCTTTTTTTGGGGTTTTTGGGAATTTCTCCCACAGGCGCGCTATTTCCTAGGTGGGGGGAAAGGGAAAACCCCCGGGGTTTCCCATCCCTTTCCCGGGTTGGGGGTTTTTGGGGGGGGTGGCTTTAGTTTGCCGTGGAATTTTGGATCCCCTGGGGATGCCCCGATCCCTCTCCTGTATCCCGGGTAGTTTTTGGGGTTTGTCTTTGGGCGACGGGGATTTTTGGAAAAGCCCCCTTTTCGGATTTTCCGGGGGGGGTGGGGCCAAAAGGGGGGTTTATGCTTTTTGGCGGTATCCGGCCGCCCTTTTTTTGTCCCCAAGGTAGCTGGGGCGATGTAAAGGTTGCTATCCCGGTTTTGGTTTTTTTTTACTGGGCATGAAGGGTGGGGTTTATGGCACAGGTTCCATGCTGCATCTGCGTACTAGCTTTGCTGGGGTCCTCTTGGGCGAAAGGGGGGGAAAAGGGAATTTCCCGGGCCCTTTTTCTTTTCCCTCCTGGGAACTTTTCCTCCCGCCCCCCCCCCTTTTTTTTATTTTTTTTTTTATTTTTTTTTTTCTTCTTTTTTTTTTTTTTTAAAAACAAAAAGAAAAAAGGAGAAACCCAAACCCATGGAGAACCCAACCCTTTGAACCCATCCCCCCGGGGCCCCTTCTTGTTTACCGCCCCCCCTTTTCTAAACCCGGGCCTTTGTTTTTTAGACCACTCTTCGGAAAAATTTCCGGGATCCCCCTGTACCTTTTGCGGGGTGCTGTTTCCCACCCGCTTCGGGGTTACCGGGGGGCTTCGCCCTGACTCCTTCGATTTGTCTAAAATCCCTCTCCTTTGACTTGTTCCGGCTTCTCCCTTTTACGGTACGGCCCAATTTTGGGAATGTCCCGCCCATTTACGCTGGCCCAACTCCGGTCATACCCCCTAAACCCCAACGTCGATCTCCTGATGATGCCCCTTTTTCTTTTTACCTTCCCATTCTACTGGGAAAAGCCCGGGACACGTAAAACCCACTCCCTCTCCCGCTCAGTTTTGGGGCCACACATTTGGATTTAAATTTTTTTTTTTAAGGGACCGATTTCTTCTTCTCCCTTTTCCCTTTTGCCCATAGTATTGGAAAAGGGCGTTCCTGCGTCATTTTGGGTTGAGATATTTCATTTAATGTTTTCAAGAGGGTTTACGTGCATTTTCACTGTCCAGAATTTTCCCAAAGGGTCGGGTCTTTCTTCCTTTGAAAACGATACTATTTCCTATCACTTTGAAAAAAACTCTTTCTCTAAATTTTCTTTATTTGGTACTGTCATTCCCCCCATTTCCATAGCCCAACAGAATTTCCAGTCATTTTGGCAAGGGACATTTTTTTGAACAGGGGAAACCCCAGGATCTCCCAATCCTCAAAGTGGGAAAACTTTGTCCTTCCTGCCCGGGGGGCGGGGGGCTTTCCCCCTTTTGCATTGGGGGCTCGTTTAGTTTTTGACCCCAAAGAACCCCCGTCCTTGTATATGTCGGGGGGCCCAATAAGTTACAAGTTAAAAGGGATCCCTAAACCTCAACATTTGTAAAAATTTTTGCGGGGCGTTTTGGCCCCCCCAAAGCAAAAATTTGCAAATCTAGGGCCCAAAAATGCCCAGTCTGTGGTGCCGGGGCCCCTTCTAAAAACATTTTTGCATTTAAACCCTCCATTTCCCTTAATTCTAATAAAGCTCACCCTTCTTTTATTTCCCCCCGGTTTGCCAGGTCTCCCTTAAATAAATTTTGAAATCCGTTGCCTCAAAAAAGGCAGGGAAGGTCTCCCTTATCCCTATGGCAGTTGTATCTCGCCTCCAAGGGGAAACCCCATGTTTTTTATTTGTTTTTAAAACCATCCCCCCACTTCTGGGGCCCCCATTTCGAAAGCCTTTTTTGTTCCCCCTTCCCTTTAGCCACCCCGGCATCTAATCCTTTTGCTGTCCTTGGCTCTGACTTTTCCCAACTCCCAACCGGGTCTGTTCTCACTTCTTCGGGGCCCTTTTCCTCACAACCCCCCAGTTTCGAAAAAAGGGCCCTCTTTACGACCCCAAATAAAAAATGGCCCCTTTTATTCTCGAAGTAAAAAAAATCCACATTGCTAAAATCTTTTTTCCCCCCTTTCCCTTTCCCCTTTTTTCCCAAATTTTCCACACTTTCCTTTCCAGTTTCTGTCCCTATTTTCTTCCCCTTTTCTCTGGCTCTATTACAAGTGTGGAGATTCCCCCCTCCTCCTCGTATAGGCCTTCCCCCCTTTTCCCCCCTCCCCAAGTTTCCCCTTTTTGGCCCCCTAGGTTTCTGCCTTTCGCCCCCCCCCCCACACTTAATCCCCAGTCCCTTACACTTTTCCCCTTTCCCCCCTTTTACTTTGGTACAGTCCTTTTTAATCCCCCAAAATTTTTTTATCACCCTCCTCCTTCTATTTTCCAATATGGTCTCCCCAAATCTTTGAATTTGGAAAACCCACTTGAAGCCATTTCAGTTTTTTATTGCAAAAGACAAAAACCCTTAAGGGGACACTGATTCACCCCCCTTTTTTCCTTTCTTCCTTTTCCTCCATCCCCCAACCCCATTCTTCGCAACGCCCCCGTTCCTTCGCTCCCTTAAAGGGTTTTCCCAAATGCCACCCCCCAAAATTGACTTTTCAAAACCCCTCTAGTCCGTAGGTCCTTTTTACCTACAGATTCCTGGAAATTTTCTTTAATCGCCAATCATGGCCTATTTAAAGTGGAAAAATTCCGGGGCCCCTCAGGGGTAATCGGGGTAAAGTTTTCGTTGGTTTTGTTTTCCCCAGGTTTTCCCCTTTTGGGTTTGCTTGCTTAAAAAAACCCAAAAATTCACTCGGCTTTTTTTTAAAACCCTATCTCAGGCTAAAATTTTTTGGGTATTCTTCGGACCCCTTTTCCCCGAGGGGGCCCCTTTAAATTTGAAAGTCCCCTTTCTACGCAATAAAATTTCCGGTCTGTAAAACTATTTTTTTTCACCCCTCGCGGCTTACACGGGGCACCCCGTACCCACTTGAAAAAAGTGGTTTAAATTGTTCTTTTTATTCTCTCCTTCTGGGAGATTTTCTATCCCAGATTTCCCTTTCTTGTTTCATCCTTACCCCACCATTTCTTTTATTGGTTTTTTTAATCCCCACCTTTTTCCTCTGGGGAGGGTTTCATTGTGCTGGTGGATCCAGTTGGGGTTTTTTTCTCGCCTCTCCCCCCCCTCCATTTTTTTAAATACGGGTACCCCCAAACCCAATTTTGTTCCTCGTACTCATACTCTCTCTGCATCGTTTCTATCAGTCTGCTCTTCCTCCACTGAAACTAGACTTCACCTGGTCTGCTTTTCCCGGGACTTCCCAAAAACGGGCGATCTTTTTTAAAATATTTTTTTTCCCCTTTCCCTATTCCCCAAACCTTTTTCCGTAGCCTGCTGGCAATTTTTTTTCGGGAAAATTTGGGGACCCTTACCCCAAAACCCTCATTTTGCTTTTAGTGGGGTTTTCCTTCTTAACCCTCATTGAGAGCTCCTGAAACCATCTTCTCGTTTGTCATTTTTATACCCCCGCTTTCATTTCTATCCCCCCAAACCTCAGGAGGGCATTTCAAAAAGTGCGTGCCTTGGTGGTCCCCTGCTTTTTGCTCGTGCAGAAACGTTTGAAACGCGCTGCATGGGGCAGGTTTACCGGTAAATTTAAAAACCGTGTGAGGACTTCTTGATTTTAAGAGAAGGTGGATGGGCCGCCGTGTCACCCGGTGAAGAAAACGCACTTTTTGGCGGGGAATGCCCCCAAACCTTTCACCTCTGCTTCTTTTCTATGATTTGCATTTGGGGAAAAAAGTGAGGAAATTGAGTGGTAAATCTCTCCTAAACCCGGGGGCTCCTGTTCTACGGGTCGGGGTGTTGATGTAGCAAACCCTCTCGCGTTGCCATTAAATTTTGGCAAAAATCTGGCCCTTTAAATTTCCCCGGGGGGCCCCAAATTTTCCCCCTGTTTTTTTCCCTAAAAGGGTCTCCCAGAAAAGTTAGAAACCCTTGAACTTTTCTTCTCTCAAGAGAAAAACCCGGAAAATTGCCTTTTACACTTCAAGAATAAGGCAACGCTCTAAAGCTTGCAAATCTGGGCAGCTGGGCCTGACGACATTCATTTTCGTATGTTATAACATTTACATCGGTTTACCCTTGTAGTCCTCTTACACCCCCTTCAGTCTTTTTTGGGACAAGGAGTTCTTCCCAGAAAGTTTGGAAAACTGCCCTTTTTCTCCCCTTTTTGCAAACCGGGGGGTTTTCTACAGGCATGATTTCCTCCCCCTATTTATCCCCCTCGCTCTTTACTTGTGCGTTTGCAAAAAGGGGGATGGAACGGTTTATAAATCGAAAGTTTTAAAAGTGGTAAATTTTGAAGGGCGCACAACAGTTCTCCGTAGTCTATGGCTTTGTAAGGGTTTGTTCTACCATAGACCCTTACTGTGCTTGGTATGTTTGGGTTTGTAATGCCTTTGCCGGGAAAAAATCCTCAAATTTTTTGCCAAAATTTTTTTTTTCCTTGAGGAAAGGTTTTTGGGCACCAACTTGGAGGTATAATTTTTTGGCCCAGGCCCCTTCCCTAGGCCCCCCCGAGGGGTAATCTACCACCTTCCTTTTGAACTTTTTAACTGACAGGGCATTTCCGTGTTCGAGTCAAAAA